GCGCCCTGCCTGGCCCGGCCCCAACCGCCCGGCGCGCGCCGCCCTCGGCCCGGCCCTGCCTGGTGCTGGGGTCCGGCCTCGGTGCCCGGGCCCAGCCTCCGTACTCGGGTCCTGCCTGGTGCTGGGGTCCGGCCCCGATGCTCAGGTCCAGCCCGAGTGCTCTGGCGCAGAGCTCTCCGCGTGCTCAGGGCCCAGTACCCACGGGCTACCGCCTACGTCCAGGCCCAGCCCCAGGCTGCAGTGTCCAGGTCCCCACAGCCCCAATCCAGTCTGCTCAGGTCGCTCTTCCCGGGTTTTCAGGCACAGCTCAGGGACCGGTCTTGGTCTAACCTTAGCCCCTGTTGCCTTTGGGAAAGCCAGATACCAGGCCATGCTTCCCAGGCCCCGAGTGTCTGACTTGCCGTGTGACAGTGAAAGACAGGAGACATGTGCCTGTCCACCCACTGGGAAGAGGGTGGGCAGGTGGGGACCAGAGCCAGGTGTGGCCTGAATGTTCCCGAGGTGAGATTTGAAAGGATGGACACTGGACAGGGCCTCCCCAGTGGGGAGCTAGTGCGCACTTACCCCGACAAGCCCTCCCAGTGGTTCCAGGGCCTCTTCACACATGCTCAGAACTCTCCCCCTCCTCCGAAGTGCTTTAAAATGGTAGGAGACGTGTGCACCCGTGTCTGAATTTAAAGCTGACAGCCCTCCTTTAAAAGCCACCTTTGCTGAAGCCATTCCTGAGACCCCAGGTGGAGGTGCGGTGGAGAGCCCGGCTGGGTCCTGAAGGTGATTTTAAGGGTGAAAGAGGACCTGGCTCTGTGAGAAACCCCAAGGGCGACAGGGCCGTTGTCCCTGGAGACCTCATGATGTAGAAACGGGATTCATAAGTGACTGATTCCCTTGCACACCCCCGACCGTATTTTGCTTCAAACCTAGCAGTCTGAAGCATCCTCTTCATCATCCTTGCTCTCCTCTGCCTCCCCAGATTACCCTGAACCCAAAGCCTTCCTTGAATGCTGAAGACACAATAAAACCTGTAGATTGGGCTTTGAGGGGCAAAAGCACTGAATTTTCTCCTCTGGGCTTGTTTTCTGTCTGTGATTCATGCTTTTGCAAAAACACCAGCACAGAATATACTCTAATCCTTTCCAGTTTGGGAAGCAGACAGTTATTTATCCAGAAGACAAATTGATGAATTAAAAAATCAACCACTGCTAGGTGTGGTATCAATGTCTATCCCAGCACTTGGGAAGCTGAGGCTGGAAGAGCTTGAGCTTGAAGCTAGGTAATGAGAAACCGTCTAAAAACAAAACCACAACCACAAGGCTAATATGTTAGAGTGATTTCCTTTCGAGAAAGAACTCTGTTCCCGAGGGATGTGGCTCTCCTGTCACCCCCGCCCCCCACGGTTATCTGTGCAGAAGGCCAGGGAAACATTGCTGTATTTTGCAGACTTAAGGGAATTTGAAAATTGATGGTGAACAGTAGCTTAAAGGCTTCCTAGACTCAGTTTCTCGTTAGCAGTGTGTGGCTAACACCTGTCCGGTGCACCTTGCCCAGACTGGTTTATCGACCATTCATCCTGTGGTGAATGTGCACTGGGCACCTTCCACATGCCCAGCACTTCAGGGAACAATGGAGGAGGCTGTGCCAGGCAAGTGCCAGAGATGGTGAAGACCATAAGCAAGGAAGTGGTTAGGCAAGCGTGTCAGGGAGTGAAGGAGGCCGCAGGTGAACACACAGAGCTGGGACCAGAGACATCTGTGTGGGGAGGAGCACTGAGTAGACCAGTGCTGTGAGGGGAGCTCTGGGTGGAGAGTGGGGTGGGCTTATCTCAGGCCTACACACAGCTAGTGCAGAGGTCTGCGTGGGAACAGGCTTGGGATTACAGGGCGGACAAGGACAAGGTCAGGGTGGGGAAGCAGCAGGATTGCCAGGAGGATGCTCATGGCAGCTTTGAGCTGGGCTGGTACAGGATCCCTTTTCTTAGAGCTGAGCCTGGGACTGCCTTGGCACCACGGGAACAGAGGTCAGTAGGATTCTACCCAAGATAGAAGGAGGCACCCAGGAGCCCATCTGGTCACAGAAAGTACCACTTAGGAGTACAAGGCAGCGGGCCTGGGGTGGCGGCCAGAAGGCACCAGGGCCCCCCACAGGCCAGGGATCTTCAAGCTGGCCCTCTGGGTGGGGGAGACCCTGGCCCTGCAGAGGCTGTGGGCACAGCTGGGACTTGCCCTTCCTACTGTCTCTAGGGAAGGGTCCCTGCCCAGGGAGGGCCACATCCTCTGATCCATCTCCAGGCTTGGCATGGCTGTGACCCTGGGAAATAAGTGTTTTGATCCATAAGTGTGGGGGGTGGGGGGCGGGGGTGGGGGTCACTGAGTGCCCAACCCCTGCATCTTGAAGAAGCCCTGCGGGCCTTGTGACCCTCAGTTTTGTCTCTCAGTTCAAGAGGGTAGGCATAAAGCCCTGCAGTTCCCAACCTTCCACTTCATCTCTTCACCTGTGTGGCACGCTGCTCTGTGTTCCCAGGACAACAACTGAGGTGGATGTGTGTCCCCGAGAAGGTTTGCTGAGCTCCTCAAACCAGCTTTTCTTTGGAACTATTGTGTAACGTAGATGATAGGTGGTGGTCCAGTGAGTGCAGCAGTAACTCACCCAAAGAAAGGATCACAGCATACCGTCCTGTGAAATATGGTCCTGTGAAACCATGTCTGATTCAACGTACAGACATACCTGTGTTACGAGAAGTTACGACGGGCGTCGGGAGAGCAATTGCAGACAGGAGTATGTAATGGATGGTTTAGGATCTCCAGGGAGGGAGTCAGGAGGGCACAGAGAAGAGGCGGGGTCAGCTTGTTGGCACTTGGGGGTAAGCTGGCTCCTGTGAGTTGGAGGTGACCGGGGCCATCCCATTGCAGGGCCTTGATTTTTAATAGTAGCGTTTCCAAGAGTGACATAAGATTCTATTTTAGAGGTCAATATTTGCAGTCAGCTGAACTTACGTGTCTCGCAGCTCTTTAGACTAGGCCTGGTCATCAGGTAAGCTGGCGCCAAAGAACCTGGAATGGAGACTGATTGAACGAACTGATTGAATGAACACTTGGGAGATACTGGCAGAGAGGTTGCTGTGCATGGGATCAGACATCAGGTGGCTGTGGAGATGGGTCCAGATCCAGGGGCGGAGGGTACCAGGATGGTGGCTTGGAGGTGGCTTTAGACTTTGTGCTGTGTCCCGAGGAAGGGAGGGCTAAGGAAACATCATAGAGCCCTGCATGCTGGACAGACTGTAAAGGGTGTCCAGTGAGAGGGAGCGAGTCAGGAGACTGACCACCGAGGAAAGGTATCTAGGAGGGAGATTTGAGAGGCCGATGGAGGAGGGTGAGAGAGACAGACAGACAGACACTCCTACGGAGCTCTTTGCTGGAGCCAAGGATGGGCCCTCCCATTCCGGAGCAAGCAGTTGGAAGGAAGCCAGACATTCTCCCCAGGACTTTACAGTGGAGGGAATCAAAAGTGGGGTGTCACAGATGTGACCTCCAGGAGAAGCCCTTTGTGTTTGTTTTAGTGTGCTAGATGCCGTTAGATGCTGCAGGGAGAGGTGGGACTTGAAGGGTTTCGTGGGTAAAGTGGAGCAGCCTCCCTTTGGTGCATGGCAGACACCAGCTTAAAAGGACTAGCTGGAGGTGTCGGGGGTTGGGTTTTAGGTAGGAGCTGGATGGATGGGGGAGGTTTCCGGCTTGCTCTGCGCTGCTGCAGTTCCCCAGACTGGGTCATTTATAAATAACGGGACTGTATTTCTTAGAGTGGAGACTGTCCCCGGGGGAGTCAGAAGGCACCAGGGGCCCCACAGGCCAGGCATCCTCAGGCTGCCCCTCTGGGTGGGGAGGCTGGGCTTTCACCAGGAGAAAGCACCGCTCGCGAGAGTGTGGTCTTGTCTATATGGTTCCCACCCCAGCCCAGGTCCATTAGAGAGGGCTTCAGGCCTGGCCACCTCTCAGGCCCACCTACCTCCTGATACCATCGCATGGCAACCATAGCTCAGCCAAGTTCTGGAGGCTGCGAGGCTGCATGTGCCACAGAGCGATTCTGGGAAGGAAACAGCACAGGGCCCGTGGAGACCAGGAAGAGGACCTGGTGGTTCTGTTTGCCATGGGGAGGAAGCCTGGGCAAGTCGACATCCTGCTGAGGTCTCTCATCTTCCAACCTCATCATAACACACCCCCCACCCACCCCCCACCCCCGCCCTCTGATGAGCCCAGGAGGCTCTGGGCCCCTTGTCTGTGAGCTCTAGAGCCTGGGTTGCTCACAAATGTTGCTTCTCTCTGATGAGATGCTCCCTGGTCCAGGCTCCTCCATTTGGCCTGTTTTCCTGTCTGTTGTGTTCTGGACCTCTGGCGTGAGGGCTGAGGAAATGCCAGTGTCACCAGCAAACTTCTGTTGAGTGATGGCGCTCAAGGCACAGCACTGTGAGCCGAGTGT